AATATACATATATTGTGACGACACTTTATAATCTTTATGACGTAATGTCTCTGAAAATGACGTCATACTTCACCGTGCTTACAATACTGGGCATAAAAATGACGTAACAAAAGACACAATTTGATAAAATCAAAATTTTAAAAACAACTTTTGCTCATTACTTGGGCGCAAGTTATCAGACGCAAATGCCAGTTGGTAGAATATTTCTTTGACTACAGTCTATGATATTGTGTTCTATTTATGAGATTTTCTTGTTCTGAAATGGTTTAAACGATTATCAAACATCGCCTGTTTTTATCTATTCTCGTTGAAAATATTGCGTAAAACAGACCTAACAGTGTGAAAAAGGCAAAATGGACAAACAAAGAAAAATAGACGATCGTGTTACAGAATTTAATGGCATCCATGCGTCTGGTGTTTTAACCAGATTTGTAGGATTGATGAAGGTTCAAGAGAAGTTAAGTTTAGTGTGCCCCATATTTTCTTGTAAAATCCAAAATGGCGCGGGTGCAGGTGTAACCCCACCGTGCCTCCAAATATTCCCAAAATATATTTCATGGAAATTAAATAAGATTTTACATGTCTGTGTAACTTATGAACTTTTTTGGAGTCAAAAATCAAAAGCAATAGTGATTTGGGGGGCGCCGAAGTTGAATTAATAAGAAAAAATACGCACAGAAACAAGTCAGCGACAAGTCTTTTGTACTTTTTATTGGTAAACAATCAGAGTACTGTTACTCAAAATGTATTTGTTGAAAACTGCATTAATATACTTCAGTTTTATACAGAACATGTTTTATTTCATACAATGGAGAGATATATAAAGGACCGAAAATTCAGTCGTATCATGCAACTTAAAATCTTTAATGAATGTCTATGATAGCATAACTGGACATAAACCGTGCTAGTAAACAAATCAAGCAATGAAATACTTAAATGTTGATAAAAGTATCATATTCCTACTCCACTTCTTTGGAAATGAAAATTTTCTTTGAAATATTTTTTTTTTCAAATAAGCCTTTGGTAGCGCTTTTAAAATTGTCTCATGTGGATAAAAACGCGACTTTTCAGCATGCAAAATATTCTTTATTCTGACGCATTTCGGAGATCTTACGCCATAAAAATTATAAAGTGATGTCACAATATGTGTATATTTTTCTGATCTTTCCAAAGATATCAAACTCAATAAAAACTACGAACGATAGTATTGTTTTCCCGCCTACCTCTAAGTCAATTCTCAAAAGTTTTAACATATTTGATTGATTTTCAAAATATTTATAAACATTTATATGAATTTTCATAAAACATTACTTATTGTAGATACCAAAGAGAGATAACTCTATAATTTGGTAAAACTTGTGGATTTTTTACGATAGAAATCAACGGAAAACGGAAAATATTTTTAAAGCATCTTTCCCCACATGAAACAGAAATTCCTTTTCACAGGTAATATGGACTGTCATTTTACGAATTTATGCCAAAGCTTTTTGTGTTTCACGGGGGATGGGGACATATGTTTATAGATAGAAAACGAAAAAAATGCTGATTTTTCACCAACTTTAAAGCTATTTACAACTTAATAATTGTATTTTATTAATTTATATAAGTTTTATTTATTTGCGTAAAACATAAGAAAGGATATGAGATACATTTTATCATATTGAAGACTATTTCAAAATATGGTGATTCTTGAAAATTCGATTTCACTAGAAATTATCGTCTATCCCCCAATCTTCAAGAGCTGGAAATAATGACAATTTACAATCTAGCGCTGGAATTAAAATTATTAATCAATTACCATAGAACTGTACGTTGTGTAAAGCAAAGATTTAATGGCCAAATTGCCATTAATATTGAATTTAATGGGTGCAAAATGTAGGCGGGAATCAAGAATTAAAGTTCGTAGTTCTTTCCGTAACACGGTTATTTTTTTATTAAACAGTTCTTCGGACTTTTGAAATGCCCCTCGTATATATTTAAAAAAAATAGCATTATTAACAAAGATTGGGTCATGATACAAAGAAGTGTTGTGTTCCTATTCATAAAAACAGCAATATTCCGGGCAATTTTACAAAAATATGTACATGACTTAAGTACATAAAACATGTTGGAGTGTTTTTGGTTTTGTATTAAACTGTGGCTAAAATGATTGGTGGTTGTGGTCGTGGGGCTCTTCTTTTTACAGCATGTTTCTTATTTCTGTTTATTTTGAAACAGACAAATTATAGGAAAGCATTCGTTAAGTATGCCCTTGAGTGGTAGAGCAGATATGTATACAAAGAGTGAAGGGGTGGGATAATGCTTGTCTACAAAGATCAGTGTAGCCAGCGTGGCGCAATGGTTAGAACGTCTGCTCTAGAGTCGCGAGGTAAAGAGTTGATCCTTTCGTCGCGGGTTCGAATCCCACTGTGGGACATGGAGAACGGTCCTTCGGATGAGGCCGTATAAACCAAGGTCCCGTGTCGCAGTAGGTGACAGAAAATGCCTGATCAAGTTTCTCACAAAACATAGATTTTAAGATAATTTTTACAGTATTTTCTAAAGTAACTCATCATTGTAGCATAGTTAAAAACAGAAACTTTGGTAGGGAGCAATAGTATTTAGAAATCTACATATTATGTACATATTTTCCTGATGGTGTTTCGAAAAACAAATCGTATATATTAGCAGCTTAACGATACCCTGAAGCCTGAACAATGGACACGATGGAGATGTGTGTATGAATTATACAATTTGGTAGAGGGCTACATATAAGAGCTATTCATATTTAAGCGAACAACTGTCCCTATAAAAGATTACATAATTTATCATCATTATCTTTTTAAACATAAGAACACCATAAGAGACATGTTTACCCATATCGTTGTCTTTCAGTATTTTTGATTAGATTTGTCCGAGAGATTTAGCATTTGCCAGTAATTATAATTATATAAGATTTTATTTTCCATCGATTTTACTTATATTAATGGAGAACAACTGCTTTTCCGATTACCAAATCATGATTTAATACATGTAACAAGGTCTTCGTCATTTTATCTTCTTCATCGACCTAAAAGCGTGAAACTGAGACAGATCATACCAAAAACTAACTGCAAAATTCCAAACAAATGAATACGGCGAAATCGTAAGAGTTAACAGGTTTGCCATATAATCCAGTTTTGGTGCCTGAACTATGTGTGGTCAATAGGTTCATTTTTAAGTTTCTAATTTTTGTTGAAAGGTCGAATTCGCATTAGATCCATATACAAAAAATATGCCTGTAGGATTCAAGAAAAGTGAACATGTGAAATATGTTAACATTCTCTTTATTTGATAAACACTCATCTCACTTGAACAATGAGTCACACATTCCTTGTATTACATGTTTTGAATGGAATAAACGTTATCTTATATCACTTGCCCAATGTAATTAAATTTTGCTTTCTTTATGTAAATATGATCCACTGTTTTGTCAAACATAGCTGAATTTTGAATTACGATGACAACAACTTGTTTGCATGTGGTTAAAATTTATTCTTGAGAATTAAAGTTAACAGCATAAAAGAGAAAAAAAGGTTGATAACATTTCGAATTCATGTGACTTCTATCGTTAAAGTTTAAGACAACTGATAAATTTTGATTTAAATCTAAGACTGTGCAATCATCTTTAGGCCATTCTAGAAGTTGTCTGGAAAGAAATCTAGCATAGTTTTAATATTAAATATGGGGTTACATATGAGTACCAGAAAAATTTAGTCGCCCAACCATAGGCTTAAATGTGACCGTTTTAATATTACTGACTTTCGAAAAAAATGTGATTTTTAATTTTCTACGATTTCTTTTGGTTTTATGAGTATCTACATTTCATTTATACTTCTTTACAATAGTCCGTGGCACAGTCCGTCTGAAGCTTTTCCTTTAAAGGGGGTGTTTCTAGTCACCTGATCCCAACCCTGTATCATTTCCCGGGTTCCCTGTTTTATGTCCTATAAACATATTTTTATTTTTTTAAATACATGTTAATTTCGACCCTGTTCGTTAGCTTTACCTTTGAGATCAAATACAGAGGCTAGGTAGAGCATTAACCGGATCAACATTACATATTCGTTTGCAATCTTTTTTAAAATAAAGTTTAGGAATCTAGTATAGGTAGGGAAGATCGACGTCAACATTTAAGAATCCATTATCCTTTGGGTCAATGGAATATCATAAGAATCAAACACTAAAACTTGATTTTGTTAAATATTCTTAGAAAGTGAATTGTGTGTATAATTGGATTTTTAAAGGTTGAATTAAACCAAGTTCATTTGAAACACATGCAAAGTAATGGGACAAACAAAGCTTCGTGTGCTAGAACTATGACAAATTGTTCATGTTTTTCATGTTTTCCTAATTATTTTATCTACCTTGATTTCCTAATATATATATATTTCTAATATATGACCAGCTTAAATCAACCTTATCCCGTTGGAGCTGAACCATCAGCCTCTGTTTCATAACTGTTTCATAACTTTGACATTTTTGATATAAGGTTAAACACTCCTTAGATTCATTGAAACAATTTTCCTGCTTAATATTCCTAAGAAATTGATACTGATTGAATATAATTCGGCAGTTGAACAAAAGACCCTGACATCGTTAAAAAGTTTATGAATTACACAAAACGGACCAAAAATGCAACACGATACCAGAGTGACACAGGAGATGTAGATGACTTATGTCGTGTTGAGTGTACACACAAGCTCTTTCTCTGTATTTTTACTGTAAATATCACATTCACTCTGTTTATTCAAAGGATGATGTGGTTGTAATCTAAGAATTACTCAGTATAATTCTGGGTTTCCCAATTTTTGTAAAATAAAATTTAATTTTCAGAACATAATGAAGTTTGAAATAAAATAGGACAGCTTGTTGTAGATCAGAAAAAATAATCCTCACGAAATATTGTTTTGTTCAGTGAGGTAGGATTTCTTTTTCTATTGTTAAAGTAGTTTTAAATGACACACGTTGTATGTGCAAAATGACATGCAGAGGGATTATCCGTGTAGTTAGCTATAACACTTAAAACTTTCAACACTTGTATTTTTCCTGTACAATGGATTCTACTTCACCTTCCCGAGCGTAAGTTTTAATGAGATCAGTATCTTTTCTTTTTTAAAAAATCTTTTTACTATCTGTATCAGTAAATTTTCTTGGCAATTTCTCTAATAAAAAAAAATAGCTAGGCACAAACAAATCTTTTTCTCCAAATACCATTTTGAAAAATTATTGACATGCTGTCAGCCCAAGCTGAAAATTGTGGAAAAAACAAACTTATTGACGATGTTAATTATGAATTAACTCAAGTGGCATGCAATAAAATATATTTTCCCTTATATTCATTTATAGTAAGACAGACATGCAGCTCATGTCAGAGTATCAGTATCGTAGTCTCTGTCAGGATATTGGGACCTCAAAGGTAATTGATGCCAAAAGAGACTTAATGGATATATCAGAAGTTCTGCAGAATCAAGCACTTGGAAATGGTGATGTTTTCATGGGGAGCGGGAGTAACAGAGAGGGATTCAGACTACAAGGATCAGATGTTGACTCAATGTTCTGGCCAGATAATCACCGTGTGATATGGGACTTATCTCAATCTTTCAGTTACAAAATACAGAGAAAAACACTGATTCTCTCTGACAGTTCTGATAGTCCTCCAGGATACACTTTATTATATTTACTGTCACCAAGCTTGAACCAGGAAGTCCAGAAAGCTTGTGTTAAAATGGATAATAAACATTACATATCGAGCTCTAAATACATACAGAGCAAATGTTCTCCTACATATCTTAATTCCAACCCACGCATGCATGGACCATGTATCAGTAAAAGTCATGGAATACTAGACATAGATTATGCCTATGGTTTTTTCTCTGACTTTTGGCCACCATCTGCTTCCTCATGGACAGAAAGAAGCCACTCATGGCCCAAGCCTCATATTGTTGATGATGTTTTAAAAAGTGGATGCCATTTTGTAGCAATTGGACACGAATTGGGAAGGCACGAACACAATGAATGGAGAATTTCTTTCTCTTTGGCCGAAAGAAAACTTGTGTATTCAATGAACCATTGCCAGTTCATCACATATGGCTTGCTGAAATTTTTTTTAAAAAAGATAATTAACGATGGACAAAGTGATGATGATAAATTACTGCGTTCATATCACATGAAGACAGCCATTTTCTGGGTACTTCAACAAAATGCGATCCCTGAATGGACTCCACAAAATCTCTTGGAGTGTTTTTGGGTCTGCTTTAAACAAATCCTTAAATGGGTGTATGAGGGGGTATGTCCTAACTTTTTCATTCCAAATAACAACATGTTCCTGAAAAGTATTCATGGTAAAGAACAACATGTATTATTTATTCGACTCTATAAGTTGTATGAACAGGGTGTTTTAGAATGTCTCTTCATTAAGTCTTGTGAAGGATGCCAAGATATACTTCAGAACCACATCTCCATCTGCACTGATGAGGATAGTCTGATTTCTGAGGCTGATTTTGATGTCAAGCTATTTGAAGAAATTTTCTACAATGATACACTACCCGCATTAAACGCACAAATGTGTTTAAAGTATTTATACACCATAGAACAGTCGATAGGATTACCCCTTTCAAAGTATCAAGTCATTGTGGTTCAGAGGCATACATGCTCTATCCTTCAGAAACTTGCGTTTATATTACATATGGATTCTCTTACACAAAAAAACAAACGAAAGTACAGAGCTGACAAACTGTTCTGTCAAATCCTGAAATTTGCAGCGTCGTTTGGGTGTATTACCGACATGCTGTTTATTGCCATATACTATTACAAGACATATAGATATATGAAAGCATTATTTATTATAAATTTAATTAGGATTAAGTTAGCACGGCCATATGTGATACAAAACTTTGATGAAGTTCCAGAGATGTATAGTATGGCTCTAGGCTCTCAGTCCTGGTCTACAAAGATGAGACATGCTGTGGCATGGAATATTAAGCTTCACAATAAAATGCCTTATATAAGTGAATTGATACCAGAACACCAGTCCAGTCTAAGGAACGATATCCCTTCATTAATGGTCCCACCATTTATACTTTTAAACATGCTAGAGATCTTATGCTATAATCATACCGATCCAATGAAAGCACAAAAAAATCTTTATATTTTAAAGATCAATCTTCTCCTTGATGAGGGGTATCGAATATCGACAGATGTTAGTAACATAGCGTGGCATATATTGGGCATGTGTCAACAGATGACAGGACACTTTCAGGATGCTCTATACTCTTACCAACAATCTCTGAGAGAAGATCAACTCCACAGCATTAAAACTGCTACAGAAAAGAGAATACTAGAAATTCTAGAAAAAAATTTTTAATATCATTGAATAAGTAGACATTCTTGGAAGAATGGAAGAATTTAACATGTCTTTAATCATTTGTAATCAACTGACTTATCCGTTGCCGTATTTAGTACTTTATAATAGGAATACATTGTAATATTGTTACTATTAAACAGCTAATGTTTATGTCCACTGATTATAATTTTAACATTATCGACTAATTTCAAACTGCAATATCAAATTGTTATACCAGTATGAGCTGCATTTTTGAAAATTTTTGTTTGCTGTTAAGATGTATATTAGTAATAAAATTGTATTAAATTTAAACCTTTATGATTAATTGAAGAAAAATAAAGCATCAATTAAATGTGTATACTAGCTATAATGTGATGTGGGCATTAAGTATGAATAAGGAAATGAATTTGAACTTTCTTTGTAGATAAAATATGCAATCTCTGAATCTTTATAGCTCATTTACATAGAAATCCCCATATTTAGCTTTAACTCATTCGCGTTATTTTGCTATAATCAAAGCTTATAAATAGTTTTTTTCATCGCAAATATGAAATACTTATTCACAATTTTGCAATAAAAATTTCTGTCATCAAAGTTGCATTTCATTTTGCTTGAAGGAAGTTGCTTTCTGGACTTCGTGATTAAAGGTCTGTTTCTTTTTCTTTAAGTGAATATGATATTTATAGGAACATACTACCCTTTTCTATATCACACCCTAACTCAGTAGGCTGAGCACATGCTCCCTGATAGGATGGATATAGGTTCTGACCTCTGTCATTAAAACATGAAATAATAGGTTACATATGTTCCTTCGTCAAGTGTTCTGCACTTTGAAGTAAAAGTTGAGGGTCAGTCGGAAGAGACCTTAAAATCTGAGGCACCCTGTCAGTGTAGGTGTTAAAACGATAAAGTTCCCATATGGCACAATGACCCCGAGTGAGGAGTAAAGGTCTAAATTTGAAGTCCTCACAGGTACATGATCAAACTCTATGCGAGTAAAAAATATCAAGAATAGGACCTAAAACAACAAACAATCATAGAAAATCAATATCACATCCTGTATCAGTTAGAGACACTACACTGAAGGCCTGATGGCTTATATTGTTTCAGGGCAAATACAAGATGTGGTATGGAATAGAATATGTTTATGCCCTCATAATCGACGATTCAGAAGTACAAAGTTTTTGCCATGTCTGTCCGTCTGTCTGTCTAATTTATCCGGAAAAACGTTCACCATACACTATCATTTAAATCAGTTTGGGCTAGGACCTTCATATTTCACATGTGCATTCCTTTTGAGAAGACCTTTCTTTTGATACTAGGTATTTTACTTTGGATCTAGACCATCTAGTGCAAAAAATTATGAAACTTTAACTCTGGTCATAGACTTTTAACAAATGGTGATGGGCTCTCAGTCTTCACAAGTGTATTTATTTATTTATTTGGTATGAGGTCTTCTATATTTCACAGATGCATTTCATGTCAAATGACCCTTCTCAATATTGCCTTTTTTAAAATTGAGCATCGATTTTGATCCTATTCTGAACCAGATAATTTTTATGAAACTGTGGATTTTATGGTTTTTGTTTCATAAACAAAGGTAGAACTTGGACTTGAAACTGTGGCAAAAGCAATAAATAAAATAATGATTCTTCGTTAAGTAGCATTCTGAATAAATTTTAATTGCAGTTAGACAAAAACTGTTGAAAAAAGAGTTTAAAAAAGAATTTCACAGATATAGCTGTTATGAAATCAAAAAACAGATCCACAGAATGATGTATCTTTGTTTTGTATTTATGTGTTAAAATTAGATGGGACTAAAACTGTAGAAGGAAAACAATTTTGAACAAATTTCACAGAAGTTTCTGTTTTAAGTAACCATGCCACCATCGTTGAACACTGTTCATCGACATCAAACTCCATCTGAGTGAAACATTCTCGAGAAGGATGTAAAACAACATAGAACTTCATCGAAATCAAATCCTGATACATGAACAGAGAATTATGTATCTAAGTGCAATCTACTTTAGTAGCAAGTTATAATAAAATTGAACAAAAACTGCCAGAGGAGAGTTGGTTTAAAAAAAAAGTTTAAAGACAGATAAAAAGCAACAAAATTAGACAGCTACAGTATACGTACCTGGCCATAAGTCTGTCATAAAATGGCTGACGTAACGTAACGTGAACAACATGAACGCAAAATTCAAAAATTTTAAAAAATCTATAAATACGAGGGCCGTTCAAAAATTACGCGGACTGGTTGCACAGACGAAATATTTGACGACATAATCGGGCAAAATTTCACAAATAATATAAAAGAATCTTTAATTATATGGTCTTCAAAATTTCATATCAAAATGTTGTAAATTGGTTTTAATTTTGAGTGATTTTTCAGGACATACCATTAAGTCACGGCGCAGCAAAATCTTCGACGTCACAAGCATTATAAAAATAAGTGATTGAGCTTTCATTTTCTCAACATTTTCCCTTGAGTACCTGTATAGTTTGAGTTACCTTATCTACTCAACATCAAAACACCATTTCTTGTCAAGCTTAAAATCTATTAAACAAGTAAAAAAAAATTCTTTTTTTTGGTTTTAAAACCAAAAACTACTTATGACATATAGTGTGATATTGGTGACTCTCAATCACGTTCTTTACAGTCCGGATAAAGTTAACTTTTCGTCTATAATCTTCTTCCCGTCCTCCCGAATAGCCTTTTTACAGAGGTCTACGAGGGGCATTTCAAAAATTCTGGCAACTGTTTAATAAAAAGTTATTGAGTTTGATATCATTGGAAAGATCAGAAAAATATACACATATTGTGACGTCACCTTATAGTTTTTATGACGTAATAACTCCGAAATGACGTCAGAATATAGAATGTTTAGCGTACTGAAAAGTTGCGTTTTTATCCACATGAGACGATCGTAAAAGTGCTGCCAAAGGCTTATTTGAAAAAATATTTCAAAGAAAATTTTAATTTGCAAAGAAGTAGACTAGGACTATGATACTGTTTATCAGCAATTCCATTATTCATTGTGTGGTTTGTTTACGAGCACGGTTTATGTCCGGTTATGCTATCATAAACATTCATTTAAGATTTTTATTTACATGATACGGTTGGATTTTCGGTCTTTTATATAGCTCTTCATTGTTTGAAATAAAACATGTTCTGTATTAAACTAAAGTATATTAATGCAGTTTTCATCAAATATATTTTGAGTAACAGGACTCTTACCGTTTACGAATAAACTGTACTAAATCTTGTCCCCGACTTAATTCTGTGCCTATTTTTTCATACAAATTCAACTTCGGCGCCCCAAAACTCACTACTGCTCTTGACTTTTGAATCCAAAAAATGATTATAAGTTAGTCAGACATGTAAAGTCTTATTTATTTTCCATACATTGAAATTTGCGAATATGTGGAGGTACGGTTGGTTTACAACTGCGCTGCCGCTATTTTGGATTTTAAGACAAAATATGGGGCACACTAAACTTAACTACTCTTAAGCCTTCATCGATACCACAAATCTGGTTAAAACACCTGACGAATTTATGCCATCAAATTTTGTAACACGATCGCCTATTTTTCTTTGATTGTCAACCTTGTCTTTTTCTCACATTTAGGTCTCTTTTACGCAAAAGTTTGAGCGAGATTCGATAAAACCATGCTAAGTTTGACACTCGCTAAAACCATTTCAGAACAAGAAGATCTCCGAAATAAAATACCATATGATAGATTGTAGTCTGTGTAAACGTTCCACCTACTGGCATTTGCGTCCGTTAGCTTGCGTCCGAGTAATGAGCAAAAGTTGTCTTGAAAATTTTAATTTTATCAAATTGTGTCTTTTGTTACGTCATTTTTATGGTCTGTATGCTAAACATTCTATATTCTGACGTCATTTTCGGAGTTATTACGTCATAAGAATTATAAAGTGACGTCACAATATGTATATATTTTTCTGATCTTTCCAATGATATCAAACTCAATGATTTCCGTTAAACGGTTAATCTTTTATAAAACAGTTGCCAGAACTTTTGAAATGCCCCTCGTAATTGTCTAAAATTTCAATTTGCTATTTGTGGGCGAATGTCACGAGTAGCCTAGTTTACTACATGTTTTATAATGCATATTTCGGATCTATGTTGCCAAAATCTCGAGCATTACACATATCTTAACAAAAGTGTGGTGCGCCGTCAATTCAGGAAACGTCATTTTCACAGTCATTTTCACGAGAATCACATCAGAGAAAAATCACTATATTTCTGTTAGTACTTCAAATATTACGTCCGAAATCTAAATACATAATAATAGAACAATTTAAAGGTACATTTGAGAAAATGGTTGAAAAATATCGCGAATTTTAGAAAATCAATGAGTTAAATTTTTGAATCCGCGTGCTTTTGCTTCACTTTTTTTGTCGTGCGCCGTACCTCTCTATGAACGATATCAACATACCGATAATTTTAGTAGAATTTTTTTAAAATACAGAAATTTTGCCCAAAATTTATTGGAATCTTTAAGATACATATTTCTGTGAAATTTTATAACTATATGACGTCTGTAAGAGTAAATAATAGCACAGTCCGCGTAATTTTTGAACGGCCCTCGTATTAAGCACTTAACCTTTCATCTCTAGTATTTATTTGCATGACCCTTAGATTTAAAAACTTGTCGAATTCGCCTTGGAATTGAAGCGTACAGGCTCTGAATGAAGTGCTGAGGCAAGGACCGCCATATTTCCTTTACTTTCAAGATGAAGTCTTCACGATTATGAATATTGTGTACCTGTCTCTAAAGATGTATTTTTATGGTTCTCAACACGTTTTCAGTTACATTGATATCTGGATATTGTGATGGCCAAATAAGACATTTAATATCGTTTTCAGTTTTCCATGATTTTGTGGCGTTAGAGGAGTGGACCGGTGCATTATCATTCTGAAATAAATAGTCACCATTCGGGAAATGGCGCAAAAAAACTGGTCATAAATTTGTATCCAAAATGTTAATGCAATTTTGGGAATTAATATTTCCATCTACTTCTGTAAATGTTCCGATTCCTTCGTGAGTAATACATCCCCAGAACATCGCCGAGTACTTTCCGTTTCCACGGACGCCAAGACACTCGGGTCGCCATACCTCGTTGGGTCTTCTCCAGATGTAAACTCGCATATTCTGGTCAGTCACAACCTGTGTTTCATATTTTATTTACTCCAAACCTTTGAAATCATCTGTACGGGCGATAAACTAGCTTACAATTCAAATCAAGCTAGATAATCGCAAAGTCAACGGTTCAACATCAATGGTACTCAGAGGAAGAACATGTTGCAATAAATGCACCTAGACATGCACGTGAAATATAAAAGCCCTAGCAAAAACTATTCTTAGTTATAAACAAAACTTGAATAAACTGTGAAAATTAGCGACATCAATCAACCAAACTTGTAAGAGATTATGATGAGCAAGAATGCCTCGTCAGAAATTGTGAATTTTTATGGCCCCAGGGTCAGGGATTATGGTCTTAGGGTGAGGCTCTATTGATTATATAGTGAAAATAAATTATTTCTTTAAAAATACCCGTGGGGATCCGGGTTAGAATAGGTCCTCAGTACCCCTTACTTGTCGTAAAAGGCGACTAAATGGGGCGGTCCTTCGGATGAGACCGTATAAACCGAGGCCCCGTGTCACAGCAGGTGTGGCACGATAAAGATCCCTCCCTGCTCAAAGGCCGTAAGTGCCGAGCATAGGCCTAAATTTGCAGCCCTTCACCGGCAATGGTGACGTCTCCATATCAGTGAAATATGCTGGAGAGGGACGTTAAACAGTATATAATCAATCAATCATTTCTTTAAAAATCTTCTTCACTGTTCCTGGGTATTAAATAAACCACTTAAGTACATAGTTATTATGTGGAAGAATACCTTTGTGAATTTTATGACCTATAGAGAAAATGCAGAAAGTGTTTGAAAATCTTCTTCTCTGCTCCTGGGTATTAAGCAGATGAACTACCTATATAGCTATGATGAGCAAGGGCCATTTTTCCTGAATTGTGAATTTCAACGCCCCTTGGTCAGGCGTATCATAGAGGAGGCCTCTACTTATATACTGAAAATGAATTAATTTATTGAAATCTTCTCCTTTGTATTAATCAAATATTTTTGATAAGCAAGGGGGCCTTTTCCAATATTGTGAAATGTGTGGTCCAGGGGTCAGGGGCTCATGTGTGGTAATGGCACTATACTGATTATTGCTGAATATTACTTATTAGTCGAAATGCATTTTTTGTCCCCCTACTCTGTCTATGGGTATTAGGTTACCAAACTAAACATTCTAAGTGTATAGTTATGATTAGCAATGGTGCCTCTTTCAAAATTGCGAATGCCATGATGTCTAGTTTAAAACATGAACCAAAGTCTGTTACATGATGCTCAGGTGAACTAGAAGGCCCATGGGCCTCTTGTTTAAATCTTATTAGCACTCAGAGTACATAAGATAACATAAAAACACATAACAATAAATGTAGCTTGTTTAAAGTCCCAAAAGGAAAAAAATAAATGCTTGTTTGCAATCAATTTTATGTATAATCAGAATTCTTGAATCTTATTAACACTTACATAAGTTGAATTTCATTTGCAAATCAAAAAAAAAAAAAAAAAGCTCGGGTTAAGATTTGGCACATTCTAACAAATAATATTTACATAATTCAAGATCTGCAAAAGCAAAACAAAAAAATATGATTTAAAATTCATAAGAAATATAATATTTTTTATATATTAAAACCATTTAATTCTAATAAATACAAACGAAAATCATGTTTACATAAATGTGTTCACACAATTATCTGAATGGATGTTTATGACAGTATAAATGAATAAAATAGTTTCCAAATGGGAAAATGACCTACCAGAGCAAGATATACTACATGTACCTCTCTGTTACTCTATAATAAAAAAGAAATTAACTTTTATCATCAATTTCCGCCACGTTCCTTTTCATTTCCTCTAGTTCTTCGTTCATCCTCTTGTACACCATCTTATGTTTTAGGATATATGCCTTTCTATCCAAAACAAAAGCAAAAGTTAAAAGCGTGATTTTGATTTGTCTTGGAATCAGTATTGTAAATGCTACACGGATTCTGTTGTTTAAGAGGAGGTAATATGATTTTCTCAAGTTTTTCTTTTGAATAAGCTTCCATTTGTTTGCTGTAGCAAATTCTAATTGCTTCTATTTTCTTTTCCTCAGACGTGAAAATGTCCATTCCAATAGCAACAGGGAGAACAAGTATTGTTCCTATAATAGCAAGCAGTCCATCACCTACAAGTAAGGGCAACCACACTGGTGCTGATACAGTATACTTAAAAACAGTCCATAAATTATTTCGGCTTTCTTTCCCAGTTAAAGACAAATAAGCATTTACGATATTCATGTTAATTCCTTCAAATCCTCGAGAAATTTCTTCTTCAATTACATTTATTGCTTCTTGATATCCTTGTCTCTCATCCATTTCATTATTCCTGTTTGTATTCGTGTAGAAATTTCCCCACTCAAACCAATCATTAGACAACTGCTGATTGTTGACTCTCCTGGTGGATTTAAGATAAGAGTCTTTCCTTCATCAGAATTCAGAAAAGAGTACAGTTTTTGTGCCATTTTGGAAGCTGTTTCTTCGATTTTTTGGTCTAATTTTGAAATACTCTGTAATATATTAAAATTTTATTTTGCTAAAAACAAATTACCTTTTTAAGAAAAAAGTAACGGTAATACTAATTTTACAAAAATATATATATAGTCAATAATGACCATTTTACATTCCTCCAGGGACCTTTTCAACTCATCTCGCTTATTTTCTAAATCCTTAATGTGATTCTCATCAGTTTCATCTGCTAATCGAACTCTTGATGAAATGACTCTATCAACATCCTCTAGAAAATTCTTCAAAAGGCTTAAAAAACAATTAACAATAAATTATATCTATATGTTACTATATAATAAAAATGAAAAAAAAAATGAATTGTATTGCTATTAATTTTCAAGTCTGACATTTCAAGTCGACATTTTACTCGTACATTTCCCTCGCACGGGATGTTCTCTGAATGCAAATATTGGTTAAGATCATTTTATATCATTACTCAATTAAGCTCACGAAACAGAATCCCAACAAAATGGTGATGTATGCATTTACCTCACGTGGCGACGGACCCGCTTACTTTTATTTCTTTCAATTAATTCAGAAAGAGTTGATCGAAAACGGTTGAATTCAGCTTTTTCGTCTTCAGTTTCATCTTTAGGACTGATCTGTAATTTAGTAAAATCGTGATATCTAAGAGCTTATTAAAAGATATCTACTAGTATTTAAAAAACCTTTAAGTAATAATCCTAAGGAAACAAGAGAAATATACTTTTTTTTGTCATGACAAAAAGATATTATCGCATTAGTAATATTCCATGTAAAATATTTATTCTTCATTTTGGTTGTTTTATCAATGCAATATATGTAAAAAAAAAATAATTGAAAAATCAATGTAATAAAACATGTTATATTTACTATATGAACAAAATGAAATGCTACAAGATAAAATGTTTTAATTTTCGTTTAAGAACTTCATTATTACCAAAATAATCATTTAGAATGCACGATAGCAAAACACAAAAACAAACTTTAAACAAAAATATTTATCAAAATCAGAAGTAAAACAACTAATATACCTTTTTGATATTTATTTAACTATTTTACTGACTTTTATTGATAATTAACTGTAACCTTTGCAAAACATAATGATTCTTACTTTTTATTTTAAAAATATTTAATTCTGGTAATGAAACATAATACATAAAATTCTCATTTCAAGGATGAAATTCTTCAATTTTTTCAAACAGTTTCATTAGTAAATCCTTGACTTTTTGCATCCGATGCAACATGTGAACTCGAGTTATGATATATTGATATTGAAGAGTTATCCATGAAATCGTGTAAAAAATCCCTATGCTTAAAAATGCACGATATCAATTACAAAAACAAACTTTAAACAAAAATATTTATCAAAATTAGAGGTAAAAAAAAAAAAATAAACTAATATACCTTTTTGATATATAGTTAACTATTTTACTGACTTTTATTGATAATAAACTGTAACTTTTGCAAAACATATTGATTCTTACTTTTTTTTCAATTTTATTTAATATTCAACATTCCATTATTGCCTGCATATTTTGATATTTTACAGTAAATTCGGTTCATAAGACCACTTTACAAATTAATGTTAAGCTGGTCTTCCCTAATGACAAATAGGCTAGTATAACAATAGTTTCAGTGGCTTTGTTTAAGGACAGTCTTTTCTTTTTACCTAATCTCGTGATCTTTGTCTCAGGTTTTGTTACCACCGGTGGTACGGTCTTTTATATAAAATTTCATTTCAGATTTTATTTTTTAAAAGAAAATATTTGCTCCATCAAAACAGTTGATTAAACGATTTTGTATTTTGTTATATCTGTGATATTTATCACTGTTTAATTTATATTTCATTTTGAGATAAACTTCATTTTTGCCTATTTTTCTCTCATCATCCTGATAGTGTTTTTCTAAATATCTGAACAAAAACTTACTTTTGGGGATTAAAAGCAGAAGAATGGATTTTAAGAATGATCTGTTCCTATCTACGTCACACATATGTAAATTACCTGTTCAAGGTTAAGCTTAAAGATGTGTTGGATATTTAGAGTCGGCCAGGCCACTTGTAATTTTTCTACCAGATCATTCCAACACTCTAATGCTTCATCTTCCTCATCGTCGTCGTCATCGTCAGAACTTTTTTTAAAGACACGCTATTTGTTTGTAACAAAGAGCACGTCTTCTGGATCAAAACATGGCATTAAGTGGCACTTCTCAAGCACTTTAGAGAGAATAATTTGGAGCTGTAAATAAGAAAGGAATTTATAAAGAAATAAATAAGCTTGTGGTAAATTTGAAACGTTAGATATCTCTTTAAGTTATAAATAAGGAAATAGAATGTATTACAATTTTGTGTATCGGTAAAAAAGGTTTCTAAAGCATGACATTTGGAATAGAAATACAAAAGAGGCAGATATGTAGCATCGTTCATCTGAACACTGTGAGAAGGGGAAAAGCATAAATAAGTTTATCTTTGAAAAGTTTATACCCAAATGTGGTTCCCACTAATCTTTAAAGACGAGAGGGCATCATCCGAACAAACCTGAACCTACACTAAAACAGATGCTTGCACATTTCTTTGCCTACCTGTGGCTTTATTGCCTTTAAAATTTAACTTACATCGTGCCCTCTGCCCAACTAAGATATGACCAAGCACGGCTTTGACGTCCTTGAAATATTTTTCCTATATGTTCATACGTAAAACTCTGATCGGCCATTGTGGCCCCTCGTTATCCCCGGGGGCAATGATTTGAACAAAGTTAAATCTACACTACCTGAGAATGCTTCCATTTATAAATATGATCATTCATGGCTTTGCTTTTCTTTCAAAGAAGATTTTCAAAGATATATTCCTTAGTAAAACTTTGATTGGCCATTGTGGCCCCGCCTTACACCCAGGGGCCATTATTTGAACAAATTGAATCTACACTTCCTGAGAATGCCTTCATATAAATTTGACAAATTATTGCCTTGATATTCTTGAGAAAATTTCTTAAAAGTTTTCCAAATTATCAATCTACAAAACTATAAAAAAAACTTTGATCGGCCGTTGTGGCCCCGCTCAACCCTTGAGGGTCCTGACTTGAAGAAACTTGACTTTACACTTCCTGAAAATGCTTCTAACAACAATTATGTAAATAATTTCATTTATGTGTTGAATGCTGTAATTTTCTTTTGTCTAAATGTAATTAATTAGATGTAACAGTTCTATTTTATTTTTCAAACTGAATGTTTTGATTTTTCTCAATTTGCTGGAATTCTCTCGGCCTTTCAAGTGTCAGGTTTCCATGTTATATAATTTTCCCCAGTTCTTCATTTTCGGCTGCTTGTTACGCAACTTCAAAATTTTCCATGGTCAAACCTGACCCCTCCGTAGACAATCAGCCAATCAGAGATGTCCATATTAATCACGTGTTTTGATGCCGTCTGTAACTGACCAGTCAGCGCTGGGTCATTCTCGCTTTGTTGACGCTACCAATAACAGCAAAAAATTTGGTACAGAAAAAATGAGAAGAATCCTACGTCTGATCAAAAGGTAATCGCACAAATACATATTATTATACTGATCCCCTAAATTTACAGATAAACAATATTTGCAAAAAATATAAGTAGGTATTCAGCAAAAAGATGGCACTACAAAAACAAGAGGCCCACGGGTCTTTTAGGTCACCTGAGTATCATGTAACAACTTTCCAGCGATTGTATTTGGTTCGTGTTTTAATCCAAAAGCCATGAAATTCATTCACAAGTTTTGAAAGAGGCACCGTTGCTTATCAAAGGGCAGATTTCAAAGCATTAATTTATTTTTATTTTTAGTCAAAGTACCCCCCTGGTACCCCTGACCCAGCGGCCCTGAAATTATCTATTTTGAAAGAGGCCCCTTTCTTCATTATAACTATAAGGCCAGCATTTTTTTTATGTTTAGGTTTAGTTATGAACATGGGAATAAAAAAGTCCCGAAGGAGAAGGAAATAAATTTTTTTTTGATAAATCAATTATTAAGATTGTATATTCTTTTTTATGCTATCCTAATAGGCTCCTTACCACTGGACACATAATGCTTACAAATAGGAAAGTAGAACATTTAATAGCTTATTTCATCATCTGCCAGTTTGGGCCAGTTATATAAATTTTGTGATGTTGATCAAAATATATTTTAAAAAATCAATTCTTTAAAATATATCTTCATTTTTTTATATGTGTTAGGTGAATGTGTGGACATTGTTCTAAAATTTACTTGATGCCTAAAATTATAATTCCTATCATAAAACAGACTGGGAGTATTGGGGAGTAGGGTGAACATTTTTTCAATTAAGTGTGAAATAATTTTTCTGGCTGATACAAATGATACTACATGCCTGTATATATTTGTATATTATTGCCTTTTAATAGTTGATTTTTTTTATTTCTTCAGGTTATATATGGTTTTCATATGACCTAAATTAAGCAAAAGTTAGCTCCCGTTGGCTGCCATACTGGAGGTCCAAATGCTCTTATTTCAATTTTAAATTTTTATATTTGCGATTTTGAAGTAGGAATCATTATTTTCTGAAATATATAAATTTTTGGAAGCCTCCCTTATTAAGAAAAAATTATTTAATAAAGATTTTCCACCAAATATTTCTGCTATTTTTTTTTTAAACTTGGTAAGACAAAGAGGAAAACTCACCGAGTCGACCTCCAATATGGCGACCGACAGGAGGTAACTTTTGCTAAATTTGGGTCCATCGAAAATTTCTTCCTAAAATGGACTTAACTTCTCCCATAGTTTTATTCATTAGATCTGATGCATAAGCAAGCCTTTTCTGAAGAATGATGCTTAGACTGTAATTATAAGCTATAACAGAGACCTAAACAATGTCGCAGGCAATATGCAATAGCTACCACGGGCAGTTTAAAACCTGGGGAAAGAAAATAATTAACAGACAGATACTTTTGAAACGAATACATAATTATCTCACCAGCATGTCATTGTGCAACAAAGTCGTCAGCATTTTATTAGTCCTTTGAACGGGTGAAACGTTTTGAATGACACTCTTATCAATGAATTTTACACTAAACCAAGCTATCTTCTCAGATCTAGCTTTATTTACCCGTCGTTTCATCGTAAAACCGGAAGTGCGATTTCGTAGATTTGAAATCTCGATCCCGACTCAAATTTGACATCGGAAAGAATTTTTTAAATTTTTTTTTCTGAAAATTCAAAACCTTGAGCGGAGGGTTCGTAAAACTGAAAATAAAATAAATCCTGGCCTTAAATATGTAATAAGATCATTAGCACATTAACCAGGAGGAAAGGATAAGATGTTCAAAGAATTCATGCATTTCACTATATAATCATTAGAGCCCCACCCTAAAACAATGAACCCTGACCCTGGGGCCATAAAATTCACAATTTTGGTAGAGGCACTCTTGCTCATCATAACAATGTACTTAGTTAGTTTATTTAATACCCAGGAGCAGAGAAGAAAATTTTCAAATAAATCATGTATTTTCACTATATAATTAATAGAGCCCCGCCCTAACACCAGAACCCCTGACCCTGGGGCCATAAAATTCACAATTTTGGTAGAGGCACTCTTTCTTATCATAACTAGGTACTTAGTTGGTTTATTTAATACCCAGGAGCAGAGAAGAAAATTTTCAAAGAAATAATGCATTTTCACTACCTACTTATTTAGCCCCGCCCTAGCACTAGAACCCCTGACCCTTGGGCCATGAATTTCACAATTTTGGTAGAAAATTCATTGCTGATTATAATCATGATAACAGTTTGACTGCTTGATATCCAGGAGTAAAGAAGAAGATTTTTAAAGATTGCATTAATTCTAGTGCTTTTGGCTCCACCCCTCAGGCCCCAGGGGGGCAGGGACCATGACATTCACAATTTTTGTTCCCCTTTACCCACAAATGTTGTATACAAAATTTGGTTGAAATTGGTTAAGCGGTTTCAGAGATGAAGCTGAAAATGTTAACACACGACGGACGACGAACGACGGACGACGGACGCCGACGGACAAACACGGATGGCAATAGGTCACCTGAGTGATTCAGGTGACCTAATAAATATGCCAACATGTCAAATGTACTCTATAATAAATTTAAAACATATAAGTGCAAGGTAGGAATACATGTAGCTGGGGTGGTGGTGGGTGTGCCAATTTTTTTGCTGTTATTGGTGAGGCCAACAAAGAGAGAATGACCCAGCGCTGACTGGTCTGTTACAGACAGCAGCAAAACACGTGATTAAGATGGACATCTCTGATTGACTGATTGTCTACGGAGGGGTCAGGTTTGACCATGGAAAATTTTGGAGTTGCGTAACAAGCAGCCGAAAATGAAGTACTGGGGAAAATTACATAACATGGAACCTGACACTTGAAAGGCCTGAGAGAATTCTAGCAAATGGAGAAAAATCAAAACATTAAGTTTGAACAATAAAATACATTTAAACAAAAGAAAATAACGGCATTCAATACATAAATGAAATTATTTACATAATTGTTGTTTTATGTTTCCTCATGCTGCACAATCTCACCGCAGCTCTGTTTTTGCTGAGATATAATCAAATAAAATCAACACCATTGTTGAGATGAAATATGTCATTTATTAAAATGACGAAATAAGAAAAAGTATATGATCGGCCGTGGTCGTGTACTACCCCCACAGGCCATGATTTAAACAAACGTACATGTATACTACCTTTAGATGCTTCATATAAATATGATCAAATATGGCTATGCTATCCTTGAGAAGAAATTTTTTTAAAGCATTTTCATAGATATTCTATGTAAAATCTTGATTGGCCATTTTGGCATTGCCCTACTCCTAGGGGTCATGATTTGAACAAAATGGAATCTACACTATCTTGGGATAATTACCCTTAAGTTTCATCTTTCTCGGCATAGTGGTTCTGAGAAGATTTTTTAAACGTGCCATCAAATTTTTACCATTTTTAAAAGATTCTTTGTGGCAAGTTAAATTGAAATTGGCCCAGTTGGAAAAGAAGGCGAAAATGTGAAAAGTTTACAGACAGATAGACGGACGCCGAGCAAAATGTGATCAGAAAAGCTCACTTGAGCTTTCATTTCAGGTGAGTTAAAAAACTTGGACATTTTCAAAAAAAACCCTCTTTTTCTTTATAATTGTATATAGAAGCTCTTGCATCATGAGTGATTTTCTTAAAAATGTCATTTTTCTTTAAAATCCATAATTATAGTCAAATGATAACTCAGACTATCAAATTATGTTTACTTTCAATATATAATTGTTATGGACTATTGTTATCTGAAGTATTTCATTTGCGGAGAAAAATTTATCAAGTTGCGTTACAAACTGATATTTGAATTACCCTATCTTTTGCGACACCACCATGATGGGAAACATCAATCAAAAATATGAATGAGATTGATTCCGAAAGGTAATCAAATAACTTAGATGTAAGTTCTTCTGTTTCCCCAATTCCTGGCGTATCCACAAACATCAGATTGTCCTTTAAAAGAAGACTCAGGATGAAATATGCTTAATGAATCAAGAAAGTTGTCTTTGATATGGTATCCACAAATTCTATAATTACGAGTCTGATCACTATGCATAAATATGCTATAAATATTCTTTGAGTATTTCCCTTAAATGTGAACCTATTACAAATTGTCACATTGACTAGCATAAAACGTTAAAAGCTTAAAACATACATTGAAAGAAATACAGACCCAATTGGTAATTTAAAACTGGTTTGCAATCGTTTATTTTTTAATTTCTGGTAGCATACAAACCTGCAAGATTGGAATAGGAAAAAACACATCAACATATTTTATATCTCTTGCTGGTCCCTTTTTTACATCAGAAACAATCCCAAGTTTTGATCTGAGATCATTTGTTTTTACAAAACTTTCTCTGGGTGACACCATTCCAGATTTATATACAATCTGCAAAGCCATTTCATCAGAATTGTGATATCTGCAAATAGTTGAAGTTGCAGCACGCTGTCTTGGTTCACACACCTTCTGTTATTTTATTGATGAGGCTTGTTTTTCCACTGCTTGTGTCACCTAAAAGAATCATCGAATCTGTTCCATGAAAAAAATGAAAAAAAGTGCATTTGTGAAATTTAAAAGCGGCAAATCTGTAAAAACAAAATTGTAAACTTTACAAGCAAAATCTTTTACAAGTATGTATTTCAAGAATGTATTTACAGAAATGCTGTTCTCCTGTCAGTGTCGAAAACGTAGTAATTATTTGAGAAATAAGGTATCATTTTTTGAGTTTTATTGGGATGTAAAACGAGTTGGTCACGTGATCAAATCCCATAAAACCCGAGGGGCTTTATTGAAGATTTGATCACGTTCCAACCCGTTTTACATCCCAATAAAACTCAAAAAGTGATACCTTATTACTTATATTTACATTTGTGACTTATTCAAACTTTAAATTTGCCTGTTTGTTACTTTAAACGTTTGAAATGCATTATTTTTCAAACCCCACGGCATGTATGTAATCCACTGAACGCGTGTCGACCCTTTATGACGTCACTGAGAAATTACGTCGAATCTTTATCCATACGCATATCTATGACCTCTTGACCTCGTCCTTGTATTTATACAGTTATATAAACGATTGCTTTCAGTAGTTTTATATAAAGGAAAACATTTGCAAATTTAAATATATACTTTTATTCTCACCCGTTATTGTTATTCCACAATCAAGCCTTTTGAGGTCTTCCATTCTTCTTTCCAATTTATTTAAGTAACCAGGGACAGCTGCTTTTAATTCCTGTCGCATCTCTTTGTCAAATGCATCTTGCTGTACGAAACAGATTAGAGACCGATATATCTTAAGCAGCGGATAATGAGGGGACAGTTTGTCTTCCTCTTCAATGCAGCTGATAAAAGAAAGAAAAAGAAGTATTATTTAGATGAGAGACGCTTTGAAGTTATTTAGAATGTAAACTATTGATTCAGGGCAGTCAAAATTCTTGATGTCTCTTGTATAAATTTTGTTTCCCTTTGAGTCAAATTGCCTTATGGTAAAATCCTCGTTACTTTTGAAACTTTCTCGTGTTGTGCATGTACCAACCGCTAATGATAAACGCCACTTAATGGCTGAATTATCATTAAGCGTTTTGCTGCTTAATATCATAAATTATCGCATTAATAGTTTACCTAAACTGCCGAATGATACATTTTTTTCCTTAAGTAACGATTTAGCATTAGTGGTACAGAATGCCTATCATTAATGTGATACTTGGGGTGTTAAACAGCACACAGTTGATCAGTCAATCAATCAAATAATCGATATTATTGAGGAAACATTCGATACTGCTATAAAAGGTTATAAGGAAGTATTTTAAAGAGTCATGTGGTACATGAAAATACTCTCTTAGTGTCCCAAAGCTAGTTTCATTTTTTAAAACTTTAAACATATGCCATGGCTGTTTCTTCTTAGTGCACCCAATATTAAAAGTGAAAGTCACAAATTTACTTGAGGTTCAATTTTGATTTTAGCAGATATTTGCATTGTCGAGACCTTTCTTTCTAAAAGTTTGCATCATTTTTTAGCAGTTCTTTACTTCAATTTGGATTCTATGATGTTAGAATTTAACACTTTTCTATGGAAAATATGAAATTAAATTCCATTCAATTAAGATGAAGCTATGAACTTAATTTATTGGTGGAGTTTTTTAGGAGAGAATGCTCAGCTTTTCCTTTTGAATCATTTCCTTGGCATGCCAAACAAACTAGAGAGTGATTCGTTAATTATATTCAGTATACGTTTTGTTTCCATACCTGGACATTTTATGCAGGTCTTCATCACTTTTTGTCCTTGAATAAATGATCACAAACCTGTTCGAATATAATAGAATTATTAGTATAGATACGGAAAATAATGTTTCTGGATATAAACTGATCCTTAAAAAAATAACGAGAATTTTTATTCTCAAACATTTAATTGATAACAATATGCAGCATGTTGTATAAAAGTAACAATACCCCTCTTCATTCTCTTCATCTTCTTCTGTGGTGGTGTCTCCATCAATTTCAGTCTTTCTTAAAGTTGACTTTTGATCATTATTTTCACCATTTTCGATACTTGATGTTTCTATTTGTTTTTCTTCTAAATTTTTCTCTTTTTCTTCAGACATATCTATTTTTATTGGCGGTCCTCGATCTGAATGGTTTCCACTGTCTGCGTTAATTCCCGATGCAAAGATCAGATACTAAGCACTTTCCTCCTGAAATATAACATTCGTCCAAAAATGAAGTTACTTTACGTAGTGAAAAGATTTATGTAGAAATAAAACAGGTGATTTCTTTTCAAATTATTTGTAGTTCAAACATTTTCAATAAAAACTAGCTTATCGATTTGTTTTAAATTCCAAGCATTATATAATGTAAAAAATTCATTCAGAAAATTCTATTGCGTCAAATGTTAAATATTTTCAAATCAACACAAGAGACAATAACCAAAATTATTTGAAATAATTTAAATTTTGAAAACAATTAAATAAACAGAAGTGTAAGGATTCTATCGTGAAAATACGCTTATGATCCAATTTTTTGTACGCAAAATGAAGTTCTTGTAGAAATCAAGCATATTTTTTTTTTCAGCAAACACCGGGCATTGAATGTAATTGATTATGCTAACTGAAAAACATTTTTAATAACTTTTCAGCTAATTCAATCAATAAGGAACATACAACTCTCAGGTAGAAAAAATTCCAACATAATGTACATACATAAAAGATGGCCAGCACTTCAATTCACTAACAAAAGGATTGTCGTGCTTTTCTGTCATATACATTGTATTTTTAATTACCTAAATGTTGTTTGTTTCAAAAAGTAATTTCTTAAAAAATAAAAGTGATAATTCTACAATTGTTGCAAAATTAATGGTTGAACAATTAAATGAAAACAATGTATGTGCCCTATCAAATGCCCTGTTGATATCGATGGTTTTCATTACATAATTATGTTTACGAAAAAAATCTCGAAACTGAATTTATTTTTATGAAATACTGTAACCAAGTTTGCAAAATATGTGTAATTTTTTCAGATGTAAGTACAAAGTTTCCATACCTTACAATTGCGCAGTTACTCCTTGTATTGGTAAGCTGTCGCTTAAATATGATAAACTGCATGGAACATGATACATGCTTCAAGGACATTTGTTATGAGATAAGACGTATGTACATTGTGTTAAAATGTGGCAGGTCAATAATGTCAATGCAAGCATTCAATTACTACAAAACAACGTTGAGTTTTATCTCTGCAACTGATTCTTTCTCATGTATGTGTTTATATATCATTAAGAGATAAAAAGAAACAGTTTATTCGATGGAAGGAAGAAGTCTTTTGCCATAGCTATTCGTGTAAAACAAGTAGGATTTAAAAATATGTCTAAACAATGCAACTTTAGAGCAAAAAAAAATTCTTGAGAAGAAATAATATCAATATTACTCTCTCAGTTGTACTTCATCAAAGCAAGTGATACATCTAAGTAAGCTTATTACCTATAGCTAGAATTGAAATCTGAAGCTATTCGAAATATGGAATTTCATACGACCACATTCGAGAGGCACGTATTCACCGCTATTCCTGAAGTGCACAAAATTAAAATGACATAAAATTTTCAACACGTATTCGTTATAGTGCATTTTTCTCTTATAGATGCACTGAATGAATATCCTTGTATTATAAGAGGACAAAACAATGTTCATGTTAACATGGCACAGTACGTTACCTAAATGAATCGTGTCTATTTTAATTTAGACACTGGCAATGTAATAATGAAAAAACACATGCGATAGCCTTCATTTTAACATTTAGATATATGGACGATACATTGCCAATGAACATTTTTTATTACCGTTTTTAATGTCGACACGATATATCGGTAATATTGAAATAAAAGATACCTCCGAGCACGAAACATCTGTTTCATATTTGGAAACTTGCTAGAAAAAGATGCTTATAGTTATTTAACAACAAAGCTATATGATAAAAGTGATGACTAAATTTTCAATTGTCAATTTTCCTTACTTGTGCAGCAATATACTGTAACCAATTTCATAAAGGGTTCCAATCTCTCAGCTGATTCAATACGAAGGAGCATGTTCTACATATACTGAAAAGAAAAAGAAAGGTAGTGTAATATACCATGCATTTTTTATTTGGGAACGTATGGCTGAAAATTACGAAACTGATAAAATGAGAATTTTAGTTATTATGAACGTAAATCAGAATTCAGCATTACTCAGCCATAAAATGTATGAAGTCACACAGGGTAGTGTGAACAAGTAAGTTTTACAAAGTCAAAACATGTGCAAACTGATAGCATATTTTGTTGTTCCATTAGAGGTTCATATATTGTTTTGTAATGTTTACAGACAAGATTGTTTTGCAATCTTCGTACTTTTGATGCAAGTTCCGTTTGGTCTGTCCTTTACCATGCCTAAGTACAAACAAAAGCAAGAGGAGGTTGCTGTATAATGTATTGTAATTTTTTCCCTAACAACGCCTCACCAGTAATCAGAAAGGACTTGGAATAGTTTTCAACCAACTGTCAATATGACCTTAAAGCGTAACAGACCCACGTTAAGTAGGCCTTTCAACTGCCGCTAGGGTTCGCTGTTATGAACGATAACTCACTGCTGAAACTTGTGTAGAGTAGGCCCGAGGTATCTAACTGTTTACACGTAAGTCAATTTTTAGCATTTCCCAAATGTTTCTTTGTTGTCAGTAGAATCCAGTGGTTTTTATTAAATTTTGCACCAATGTTAAACTTATTTACTGTATAGTTTCGGACACCGTTTAACTATATATAATTTATTGTTTAATTAAAATAAAAAGTGAAGTCTACCCTCCTTCTAAGTTCTAACCTGATTAAATTTTTATACTTTGTAAAACAAATATGATGATTAATTGTTGCATTTACTTGTAAATATATATATGTTTATATAGGAAGCGCAAAAGTGCGCACGCAAAAACATGACATTCTATTTTCCTCTTCATAATAATCGTCAAAGAGAGTTAAAAATGCTGAATATAGTCTGTTTCCCATTCATTTGACCCTGTTATTTCGGGTATAGTGAAGACATTCTCCTTCTTTTGGTCAACACTTTTGTGTACAAAACAATGTAAGGAACCCTTTCGTGTACATAACAATACACCCTTTCGTGTATATTAAAATACCAATGCTGAAGCAGCCTATAAACGATAACTCATAAATCGGCACTAGTTCGTCATTTTTCACACCCGAGTTACCTGTCCTTAAAACACAGCATCGTAAAAGTCAATTATAAATAATGAAACTCTTTAATGATTTAATTAAAAGTATGCGTAAGTTATTATCTGTTTTGATAATTTCATGTACCTATAAATCTATGTATGAAATGTTTTTTACCATATGTGCAACTTGAAAAATTAGTTGAGAGGCCTACGTTAAGATCGGGTTATCCATCCTACCACCTGTTTATTCACCACCGTACTATTTCAAAAACTTCTATTAATACAGATAGCTATCATGATCATTACATTCATCGTAAAACTGAAAGAAACCGATTGTGCAATAGGTTTTTAATCTGGTCAAGTTGACATCGGTGTCCCTCTAACCGGCGCATGTGCGCGTCATTTGCCTAAGTTTTTCAACGTGCTTACCCTCGGTCCGTTGTTGCCAGGGTAAGTCAAGACTTAACTTTAAACAATTGGATTTACCAATTAGCTCTTTAGAGTAGTCTCCTCAGACTTCACCGTTTGCTCATTTTGCATGGGTGTTGTGGTTCGAAATACCTACCCAGGTATGTTATGGCTTCCAAGGGAACATTACAGCGTACGCTTTACCTTCAAATCTCTGAACAACAACTGTATGACGCCATTGTTAAAAATGACGCCAAGTCAATGCGAACTTGAGCTGTATGAATAGGGACAGTGTCATAAACGTAACACCTTATTTCAATCTGCACATACGTAAAGTGTCGAAAAGCTAGTATAATGTAAACGTGTTTTTCTTTGAATGTCATATACTCAGTATCCAAATATTTGGTGAATTTTTACCTTATTACCTCTTCTTTTAAAGTCGGCACGTTCAAAATATATACAAAAATATACATTTGATATTTACCCTTTTTTTGTGTATGAAATAGCCTTGTTATTGAGAACTTAATTGAGATCTTGAGTGGAAATATGTAACAGAAGCTTCCCCTCTAACCGAATCTTGCTTGAGAAAACTGTGTGATGACTTTGTTTAAAATCAGATGACGATATTGAGTAAAAAATACTTTGAAATTTGTCGGTAAGTTTAATTTATTGTGAATTTTTTTACGAGAGTAAAAGTATAAATTTTCCCGTCACATTTTGGGTTCACAAGAATGTGACGAGTGTATTTCTTTGACAAACAAACGCAAATATTTTTCTTAATCAGCTGCACAAATTCATCAATGTGACACACTTCAAAAATTATGAATGACTGTCACGTGATCAACGAAGTCGTGTGATTTCACAACAAATATGTTCTTATACAAAATAAGAGAACTTTATAAAATTTGTTGTACCTTAGTACTTACAAATGAAAATCAAAATAGGCTTTGCGGTATTATATTTTGGATACATTTTTGGCTTCGGGTTTTTTAACCTTGATGCACAAACGTGTGACTTTTGATTAAGAGCTGCCTTGTTCAAACAGTTGAATAATATGCTCATTAAACGCTCTGATGAACTCCATGCTAACTAGAATTAAGGTTGTGACAAATGCCCCAGGGAGACATAGATAATGAGGATTTTTGAGGAATATTTTTGGGGTTTCGTCAAATGAGTTTGAATGACTCATGTGTTACATGGACATGTATAAGGCAAAATAGACTTTTGGTCACATTTTCATTAAAGATGATTTTAAACGTTAGATAGGAACTCTGAAAAATACAGAAGGAAACATAAGATTATATCGGAAGTTTGCCCTGCGTTTCTTTATCCGTTTCATAAGTATATGAACATTTTAAACAAGGTAAATTATTGCCAAACATGTTGATGAAATCGTGAATATCAATAGTCAGTTATATGTACTTATACAACTTTTCAAGATATTCTTTTTAATTTCATTCAAATATATGCAATTTATGATTAATAATACTAAGATAAGCATAAGCAGAGTTTTCGTGCTCTTCAGGTTTGACGAACTACAGAAAAAGAGAATTAAATCGAGGCCTCTTTATCAAGATCGCCCTCAGACAAGTCTACAAATGTAGAGTTTTTTTTCAGAGAAAATCCAAAACAGTGAAAATAAAGTACAACATTTGCGACTTGTGATTGTGTAAGATGCTACCTCGGCTAAAGGTCATGTCATAAAGGTTCTTCATGGATTAATTTTCTGTGTTGGCCAAAAATGTTAGAAATTAAATCCATTTTTTTTCAATATTTATTTCGTAGTTAATAATTGGAGAAAAGGTAGTGAAAACTGTGTTTGAAATTCCACGATTTTTCAAAAGATGTAAACAAAAGGGGATTGATCAATAAAAAAGAGATTGTTTAAATAATGCTAAGATCCGTTCATATTTCACATGAAGATCCCACACCAAATATAGGTAACAATTTTAAGTCTTTTACCGGCATATTGTCTCTATAAATATTCTCGAATGGTACGTAAAACAACGATCAATCAATCAACGATTTTATTACATTACATTGTCATTATGGTTAATATATAATGTGCTGTTGTTTGCTTTCCATAAAAGACAAGATGCAAAAATAATTATATTTTTATTGTTAGTAAGTTGTAATAAGTTGTTGATATATACCTTCTTAAATAAAAAAAAATTACAATGTGCATAATAAACAACTGATAGAAAGATAGAAAAAAATCAAAATTTCAAGTTTCCTTGATTGAAAGATAACACATTGCAATGGAACTTTGTCTTTTAAGAAGATACACACGGATGAGGCATAAGTGTGACGTCATCTATTGCGATGTCACTCAGGTCGGAGCTCCCTGTAGTGGCTTCAAAGACGATCTAAACAAACAAAAAATAGAACTCAGATAAGGGTTGATACCATTTTGACATACGGGGACAATTTACAATTTATATAGACTCGTAGTTTTAAAATGAGAGAGAGAGAGATTAAACTTGCATGAGTTTCTGGATCCAAACGGATGTGTACGGTAATTATATACCACCCGTTTCCTAGGTCTCTGCCTATGGATACAAACTGTTTTTCTTGATATTAAACTTGGTGGCGTACTCTGACAATATCCCCATATCACGCCCATTCATATTGTGATAAAACTGTAAGCAGTATGTCTTGTGTATTTGAAAGAAAAACAATTTTTAACTCTGTGTTGATGTCTACAATTTTTAATGTATGATTCGACAGATTGTAATATTGTACATCTCATTAACAATATGAGTTTAAAAAAAAACATTAATGAAATTTTGTCTCAGAAAAGAATCAGCACCTTGTTATACAGGGAAATTCATACACGACCAACATAAGGGACACAATTAAAACTGCTTCTTTTCTAATATAGTCCTCAAGATATACGTACTTTGAAACAATACTCCTTTGTCAGTAAAACCATAGCGCTTTCCTTCCGTACGTTTTGTTGCCTCAAAATAAAAATAAAACTGACCCTCAAACGCAGCAGATGGTCCTGTCCCTATGGAATGTGTGTGTCCCTAGATGAAAGGAAATAAGAGACACATTGGTTTTCACAGTCAACGGGGCTTATGGTTTTCTCATGCTTTGAATAGCATTGTATAATGTCTTGTTTCATTTTCATCAATATTTATGCAAATTAAAGAAGAAGGATTTGACAATCCGATTTTTTAAACATTCAGTTTAAACGCTCAGTCTGTAGTGCGCTCGCTCCTTGATTGGAAGGTTGTGATTTCGAATCTCAGTCGCGACTGTCTTAAGCCGATAAAAAAGGAAGTGCCTGTTCCTTCAAGCATTGTTGCAACCACTATTGAAATAACGACCACTATTGAAATAATTATTTCAATACTGGTTGAGAATGCATTTCAATAACAAACATAGTATGTAACCACTATTGAAATACGACCACTTTTGAAGAAATTATTTCAATAGTGGTAGCAACAAAGCATTTTGCACTTAGAAGTAAAAGTTGCGGTCCGTCAATTGAGATCTTAAAAATCAATGCCCCACGTCACTGCAAGGGTAAGCGTGATAAAGATCCCTTAATGCTCCTAGGCATTGGAGTGCTGAGTAAAGGTCTAAATTTGAAGCCCTTTACCTGTATATGGTGAGATCTCTATATGAGATAAAACTTTCCGAATAGGGCGTAAGACAATATTGAATCAATCTATCCTAAAGGATAGGAATTACTGACACATTTATGATAAGACATTTTTATGGAAGAATATGAAGATAACGAACAGTATTTAATATTCAAGTCAATGAAACAATACAAAATAGGAGCAAAGCAAACATGAACCTCCAAAATATCAGAGGTGGGATTAGGTGTAATGGAGGAGTGATCATCCCCTGCCGACCGGTTACACCAGCCGTGTGTCCCTTGTCATGATCGGGAAATAACAGAAAAATCTGTCGTCAATTTAGTGTATAATTAATGGACTAACAATTAATGTGAAAAACGTCAGTCAGCATTTGACTCATTGATACATTATATTCGCTGAATTTGGACAAAAGAAATCATGCACTGGCCCATTTTAGGCGCTATTCATAAAATAAAGATAGCAATGGCAGATTTCAGTTGGAACTTATTTATGGAAGAACAATATAAATACATTTCAGGTACGATATATGTATGGTAAATTTTCAAAGAGAGAGTGACAGGAACCCCTTGAAATTCCATTGGTGGGGTAAGATTCACAGGAGAAGTAAGCATTCCATATTGGCAGTGACACTCTCTGGAAACACTTTCCATTGATAAGGTAGACAGAATATCCCATATTCAAATTCAGAATAAAAAGTTATAAAAACGGCGTATGAAACATACAACCCAAATTTCCCAATTACGAGTTGTATTTGTTAACATAGTTATTTTAACGAAAAGATAGAACTGAACAAGGGAGCTGTCCAGATATCAACACATCTTTGGTCATTAACAAGAAATCTGTGAGCCAATCCTCACTAGAAATACCCCCGCTCTGATGTAAATAAACACTATTATGTCAATATACACAAGTTTAATAACAGGAAGATACATAGAAAAATTTGAAGTTGACATCAATTTCATATAAAAATTTATCCAACCATATGGCATGCCTCAACAAAGAGCGTACTAAAATTAAGCACCTGCTATGAATAGTTAATGGAGAACTGCGACGAAAATTTGTCACGTATGAAACGGACAGACACACAGATAAACAGGAAGTTGACATCGAATTTATACAAAAGTGTATCCCAACGTATGGCATGTCTTAGGGAAGATTGTGTTAAAATTTCAAGCACCTGCGATGAGTAGTTGCTGAGAAAACTGCGACGGACAGACACACGGACGCACAAACACATGGACACACAGACAGACACACAAGGGTACATGTAAAACAGTATACCCCCCGCTCCTTCAGAGTGGGGGTATAATAACAAAATTTAATCTTGATATTAGATGAACCCCAAGAAGACGTGTTTATGATGATTTGACCTTCACAATTAAGACAGGGGTATCCTGGTGGACATAAACATCTGTATGGCTGTGATCTGAATGGAGAATTCACACATCTTCCGTCATTTTGACAAGGGTTGCTCGAACATGCTGTCTTTACTCTCGTGCCAGAACCTGCAAAAGTTCAAATCGTTGGGGGCTTCTTAATGACTGTCCATCAACATAATGCAAATTATTTGATGTGAATGTGAATGTCAAACATATTTTTCTGATCTCTTAAACAGGTTGGGTTGGAAACATGTCATGATGTACAGAGTTCATTTGAATTATTCTCTGTATAATTATAAAGAAAAATGAAAAGGGTTTCCTTCGTAATTATAATAAACTTTACGGGAAATTAACATAGCATTTCCATTGAACTGCAAAAAAAAATAAAGTCTTCAAACAAGATTTGTTGATTTTAAACGTTAACAAGAAATATCAAAAGTGTGCCTATATTGAGAAAAAAAATCTGTGATAATAATAATGATCAAACATAATAATTATATTCAATCATATCTTAAAATGATGGAAACGTATTTATGGTAATAATACAAGTTGCTTTAAGAGATTTTTTTTTATAAAAACAATAATAAAAAAACCCTCATTTTCAAGTAAAAAATGAATCTATAAATCAAGAATTTCTAAGTTTATAAAACGTGTCTCTTGCAAACAAGTATCTGGGAAAAGTTAACATATGTACACGATCTTTGAGATCGTTTTATCATGAAATATCACTAATATGTATTCTTTCCAGTGTTGTTTTTTCTGAATATGATTTTTCCTTTAAATTAGTCTGAATATTGTCTTATTTCAACACCAAAGAAGTATAAGGACAGAGCTAAAATTTTGAAAACCTCTACACCGTTTTAACCAAATACGTACAAAGTCCAGGACGTAGGAATATGTTGTCCATTGCAAAGAATGGGTCACCTAGAATGCCCTCAATGTTAAAATTAATATTCCAATTAAATTATACATGAAAAGTTCATATCAAATGTTTGACAATGAGAGAGAGAGAGAGAGAGAGAGAGAGAGAGAGATCTTATATGTTTTGGAAATGTATGTAAAATAAGTTTGCAATAGCTATTCTGATTAACAACTTTTCGAATTGAAATTTTTTTTAATAATTGAATAACATTAGTTTTATCTGTATTTTAGATTGTTATATCTAATGTTCTCTAATTGGTTAATGTATATTTTTGTAGCCCACTGTATATGACACCTGTATTTGTTTATTCACATGTTTTTTTAAAGCTTATATCACTGTTATTTTTTAAAATAAGATTTCAATCTTCGAAAATTCAATAAAAGTTCAAAATGAGAGTTTTTTAGTATATTATATTATCAAAAATGTTACAATAGTTAACCATATATAGTTTACAATAGTGAACAAAAAATAACAATAATATTTTATAGGATTATCCTGGAAATAAATGTATTACCTTCAAGTTATGAGTGGCTTCAATGGATACACTTACAGTCTGCCAATCTTGAGTTGTATTGATTTTTATGTTTTTCACGTTCGTTTTCGGAAGACCTTTTCCCTCTACATAAACGTTTACTTGTGTTGGGTATTTTCCATCTTCTGAGTTCAGAGCAGCGTAATCAAAATAAAGACATCGGTCGTGAACTGGGAAATTGAAAAATTTTTGCTAGTCAGTGAACAATCTATACTGCGTGAGATAATTGTTTTATATTGTCTTTTCAAGAATTAATAACCTAAAAAGTAAGAGTATGAATATTATTCCACTTTTAAAAGTAATGATATAATGAATGTTGATCAAGACCTCTTATTACGATATTCACTTTACCATAATTATATAATTATTATTATCATTGAAGAAACAAGTCTTGAAAATGTTATATTTTACAGGATTTTGATCGTTAACAGTCAATTACCTGTAAACTTGACAGTCGTTGTGATGATGGCCTTTGACCCGAGGTCATATGGAACCATGTCTAAAGATGGCGACATTGTTAAAAATTGGAAACCAGTGCCTTGTAAGCATTGTCCTTTCTTTCCACAAATTCTCTGGAATGGTGACAAAAAAATTCATATTTTATTTTATTTGTTCATTTTCAATTAATTGAAAAATATATAAATTGACTAAACCTAAAGTTTGTATTAAATTAATTTAGAATTAATATCTAGTGAAGTGTTTATTTATTTATCTTTTCACACGCTTGCTACATAGTTTGTATAAAACGCTTAGAAAAGCAAGATGGTTTCCACGTAACAAAAATACAAGGAAGACACTCTCTCCTGAAAATAAGTATGTACTTAAATATGTTTTTTGCGGTAATAGTTCTCAACCTAAACTTCAGAGAAAGTATTTATCCAAAATAAATCTAAATTATTCTCGTCTTTATTTATACATATAACTAATATATACGTATATGTCATTACCGTATTGAAGCTCCAAAGAATATTTGATGCCCCAGAAGTATCCTGGTCAAAAATACAGGTGTCAAAATCGTCCTCAAAATCACAGAAATTGTGAGACAGTGCTGTAAAGTGAACATTGAATCATTGATTAATGTTTGTGTGCATGTTTTTTGGATACACCATATATCTCAAATACCTATGTCTGTCCCTCATAATACTTGTACTTATGTTCTTTTTGCATCAAAGCCTACGAAGACATTCCATAAGGTTATAATTAATGAAAAAATGTGGGCTAATTAGGAAACAGAGTCCTTTTTGATGCATTCTTTTTTACTTTTATGTATTAATCAAGTCAACATGCATTTCTATCATTTATTTTGCAGTTTAAACAATAGCAGCTGATACAGTGACTGTAATCAACCCTGGTGATTGATAGTAAATCTGTAGTTATTACAAATGAAGTTCACGATTGTGTTACCTCCGAATTCGTCACAGTTCGTTCCTGACACGCCATTTTGACAAGCACACTTGTAAGATCCGCTCCCTTCCCCTGAACAAATCAACCCAGTTTTACAGGGCGAACTCATACAGCCTATGTAATGCAATAACATTCTCTTTATATACACAATTAATTACTTGTTAAAAAGGTGATTTTCACTTCTAGGTACGTGATCCTACATGTGAAATTCTGGCGGTTTATGTTTTATGTCATATTGAGAGATTTGTTTTATAAATCAAAATAATTAATTAATTAATTAATGTATTAATTATTAATAGCCATTCTCTGTAACCACTTAAACTTCGTTGCCACGCATGGTGACCGATTTTGATGAAACTTCACCCATGCTTAGTACTTGATACCAGAAACAAATATCAAACAAAATTCCGTTGCTATGTGTCTCGGTTGCTGTGGCTACAGCCGGAAAAGTTTGAAAAATCGAGATTTTCGGCCACTTTAAATCTTGACTGTGGCTTAATGAAAACTAGAAAAGGCAAACAAACCATTCTCACAAAAAAAGACACCTTGATGTCACTTATACTGTAAAGAAACTGTTTAGAATATATCTCCAAGTAAGTGGTAACCAAGGTTATATTTGGAATACATTTGAAATGCTGAAATATGCTGAAAAACACTCCGTATTCACTAATGGTAGGTGTTACATGTTCAAACTCAATCATCAACTTAAGAAAAACAATGAAAATGTTTGACCTTAAATATATAAGTATAAGCAATATTATTCTATAAATAACTTTTATGGTTGCCATGATTACACAGTGTAACCATGCAAAACCAGTAGCTGAAATTGGGTTAATGATACTGTCTAGAGGAAAAACATGAAAATTCAACACTGGCAAATATGCATCTTTAGGACCTTGCAACAAAAAAACCATAAGAAAAATTGGGTATAATTGCTACTTTGCAGTGTTACCATGGAAACAAAGTACCAGTGCTTAAAAGTGAATTATTTTTCGCTGCATTCAGAATTAAATTGCCATTTAATCAAGAAACAAATTAAAGGACTCAGCTTGAATAGTACTTATCTGTTAAAACAAAAGTTGAATATCATACATTGATAAAATTTGATAAATAAAACAACACTGTTGCTATGGTTACCAAGAAGGGAAAATGTTCGGTTTTGTGAACTTTATATCAATATTAAACCCTGTGTGCCAACTTCTTGCATCCACTTAGAGATTGGATGATAGTCAAAATTAGAAGTCATGTTAGCTGATAATAAATATCAATCATAAAAGTTTTGGGAATCTACATTTAAGGGCACGTATCCAAGGAAAGAAAATATTTTTCAGGTTTTTAAGCCTATATTTTCTGCTTATTTCCATAGCAACGCTCTATTTAAAGAATCCAATCGGATTTTTTTCAAATGGGAAAACTTGGAGCACACCAACATCTTATAAAATTGATCATTAGTTATGAGGAAATGTGCTTTTTTTTTTTAAAAGATAGGATCATATTTAAACATACAAAGTGCTATTTTGAAGGCTGTCTGTGGTATAAAAACCTTGGCAACCATTGTCAACCAAAATGAAATATATTTTTTTCTCGGTATATATTTCAAGGCTCTTTTTTCTATTATTTGGTCACATTTCATCCTAAAATTGCTTTTTATTTTTACGTGTATGACTTTATACAATTCAATGAATATTTTTTTTTGAATACTTTGTAACCATAGTAACGTATGTAGTAGTTGATTTACCAAATATGTTTATAATGCATTTGAGACATCTGACCTTCAACTTTTGGAAACAGTCATTGACATTTATTTGCTTTGCCGCAAATGTTAACTATGGAGCTCTAAACATGTTAAAAAATGCCATTTTTCGAACTTTAAGACATGTTGCCATGGTAACTATAAAACATAGCAACCAATTTTTACCGGATTTCTGTTTAGGGTATCAATGACTTTTATCATAGAGAATTTGGAGAAATTCTGAGACTATGCGTGCCACAGCTCCTATATAAAATTTCAAATCATTACAGAGAATGGCTCTTAAGCTTTTATAAGATGGATCATGTTCGTTATTTTTATCTTTTTATTAATTTTGATGATACATGGTCTGTAGAAGTACTATTTGGTGAGGTGTGTATGTAGAAAGTATGATAGTATAACATTCAACAAGAAACGAAATGTCAAAAATTAAGAAAAGGTGGATAGGACACTTATATTGTATAGTGTCTACAATGTGTCAGATCAAAGTATTGATCTACTGTAAAATTAGTATGATTTGCTCCAGATTGATTCTTTAAAAACATCGAAAAAGTAGTTCATGGGTTTGCTGTTTCCAATATCAATGCATAAACATCCAGAAATGAAAGAAAACACAAATGAACAAAATAATTTTTTTTTCAACTTCTTAGTTTATAAAGCCACACCAAATCTTTTCAATACTAGCTATAGACTTTAGTTGGAAAATTTAACTATTAATAAAAGTGATATTTTTGTCCATTCAAAAAATAAGTGAAATGTCCTTTTTTATAAAAAAAAAAAATACAAATCACCAAGCTATACCGGGGGTATATCATCGAATATTTCAACTTTAGACAAAGGCTGTTAAAAATAAAGTTAAATATATCTGACCTGATGGGAAGGCCTGTACCCTGATGACAAAACCTTTTCCTGAAGTGTGGTTTCTCCTACTGTTGAACCTGATCATAAGAGGTGAAGACTCTCCGATGCTCATCTGTGTATAGGTTTTGGGGATTGTAGAATTTCCACAAAGCCTATTATGTATGATAAGAAAAATACCATTCAATCAATAAATGAAATTCTATATAAAAAATTTTCACAGTTCTTCGTTTTGAAGTTAAGAACATTTAAAGCCAATTTTAAAATAACATAACACGCATACAAACCCAGCTTATTACCTGTGTTTGATTGTGAAATTAGAAAATGCTTTACACCAAATTATTTTAGTTGGTGCAAATATTGATCAAAGAAATTAAATACTCTTTTCCAGGATCTCCGATAAGGTAATCACGGACTTCTATCCAATGGTAGCATTCCTTTCTAGCGCTGTACGGAAGATCAATGGATGTAACAATGGCTTTGAGTAGTGAATTAGATTCAGCCTGAAAGGTGAAAACAAATTTAAGACTTACAAACATAAGGGACACAGTGCAATATTACAATGCATCTGATAACAGCATATCAAATTACATATATTCCTTTAAAGAATCTAATCAGAATATGGATTTTAACTTTAATTGAATATTCATCCAACTTTGACCAGAATATTGAGCTTACTTTTACAAAACTATTCTACTTTCATATAAAGAATAATGGTCTAATTTTCATTAGCATATTGATCTTTCTTATCCTCAAATCAATGAAATTTACCTTTTTCCAAGCACATTTATCTTTCTTTTACTATTTAAATATGCATTGTATCGTGGATAAAGTATAGACAGAGAATGGGTCTTTCCAGTATCGGAATATTCCTTTTATTCTTGCTAAAATATAGCTATTACTTTTACCAGTACATTAAATCTCTGTTATTAGAATATGGACCTTACTTGGATACCCATTGTACCTTTATTAACCACGTGCACATATTCCCGGAAGTATATGATGCCATTTTAATTTCATTTGATTCTCCATTCCGTAGAGTTATAAATTCACCACAGCCTGTAACATAAGAAAAAACAATGAATATTGAAGACAATGAACCTAAATTCTTTGCTTAAAAAAAATGGCTGTATACAGGCATAAAAGCAAAAATAAGTATATACACTCTACTGAGATATGAGGCATGAGGAATTTATGTTGTCAAACATATATATTTAAAATCTTTATACAAAACTGAAAAAAAGAATAGAAGAACGATTTTTTTTGTTTGATTCATGAACACCGATGGTAGCAGTTGGATACTTTTCAAATGAAATATCTATAACATTCAGCTAAATGATCTTTCACTAATTAATAAGATTCAAAAAGAATTGAAGTGTTTTAAGTTTTACCTTGAAATTAATGTAAAATGTTAGCTGCTTAATACTGCGAAGGGAATCAAAACTTTTCTTAGCTGTACCCTTATTATAAAAATGGCTGATTTTGGTTAAGCTGAGGAAATTAGCATCTCCTTCATTCCTCCTTGCTAAGATAAAATATTATGACAAATTCTACAGCATAATAAATATTTTGCTCAGAACGACATAAAAAAGTTTCAAAAAAATCACACGAATTAGTTACTTTAACAATCAACAACTTATTAAGATGCAAACAATACATAAATTCTGCATGCATCATTTCAATGGATGGTTGACCTTTGTCAGTGTCCAATTCTTCACAGGATGTGCCCTTAAACCCGAAAGGACAGTGACAAGAACACGTTTGCTGATCAACAGGCTGAATGCGGAATCCGTGGTTTTGACACAATAGGGTACAGTCAGCTGTTAATGAAGATAAAAAAAATGATAACAAAATCGTGAAAAAACTTCATTATTTCACCAGTTGGAAGGGATTTTTCAAACCAAATTACCCATGGCATCATGGTTCATCTCTTATTCTGCCTTTCAATGGAACCGATATTTGAAATTTCACATAACAAAATATGGGCACCGTCATTCTTCGTACAATTTCTAGATCACCCATTTTTCAAAAGCACATCCTATTCAACTGAAGGTACATTTTTTGTGAGAATTTAAGAAGTCGTTAGTATCTGCGCATAGTGCCACTGTGCACATTCTATCGAAGTTTCGATCCAAAAATATCTTTCATGTAAGACGGTGTATTCCTAATAAGAATATATTTCAGTTAAGAAAAAAACATTTCAAATGTTTGATTTAATACATTTTTTCTGTTATGGTGATAATTTGATGAAACAGAAATTGATTGTGCTCCAAGGACCCAGATTGAGAAAAAAAAAATTCCTGAGTAGACAAAACCTTAAAAAGTTCACGAGGAGTTGTTTTGATATATCTAACTTTTGCCAAAAGAAGAAACTGTTTATGAATGAGTTATCGAGTCTGTGTCTGACCCCGTCTTTTCTCATAGGATGAAAAACAATTCTTCTGTAGCGTAACGGTTACTTATCGTTTATCATAATGTACAATTTAATGTCAGGATGTAAACAATGAGGAAAAATACCATTTCAAAATACTTACATCCAAACATCTGTCGTCAAAGGCAAGCATTTGTCCAGTGACTTCAATTCTTCTATTTCCAGGGTATGACCAGCAACTTATATAAAAATACAAAACTTAAGCACATATCTTTGACTGTATAAAGTAGTCTGCCTAGATTTATAAATTGTTTGTATAAAGAACATGCTTTAGCTTTTTGGTTAAAGCGGGAGACATAAACCCCATATACAACCGAATGCAAAATGTATCCCTTTTCTAAAATGGATTGTTTGTCAAATTATTTAATGTTTATTCATGTACAGAACGAAATTTTAACATTCTTATAAAAATAAATAAAACTTATTTTTAGTAATAAAATATATATATAAAAGACCAAGCCATGTTCTTAAGCTATTTAGTCGTGTAAAATATCAATAAACTCCGATTTTTTTTCTTTCAAAAATCATATCTGTTTCCCAGCGAAATACTGCTGAAATATATCTCGCTTAAATGCAAAGTTAACAGTTAAGGAATATGTATCATCTTCTCATCGACTAGATTTGCTCAATAAAAGTTAGACCATAAAACATAAATTACCCTCCAGTATTTCCGATGAATTTGATGAAGTATTTATCTTTAGGTGTCTTCAATCTCCATGCCACACAAGTTGTTTTAGAAATATTATAGGCTGTTTTCTGCATTAGCCTAACGGCTTTATTAAGTTCTGCACCTAAAACAGTAAGACTGGTTTTATCAAGGCAAGAACCTTAAATACCATACAATTGTTATAGGAAAACAAATAAACGAATAAACATTCAACTGATGCTCTGTTTTACAAGGGTTAGGACCACTGCTCATGGTAACGCTTTTCTAGATCTCAGGTGAAGACATATCATTTTTGCTAAGTTGAAAGTTACTAGTGCGAGAAAATATCTTATTTACGAGGGTTGTTCGAAAAGTTCGTGGACGATGTCCATCTTCGTTATATTACTCACTGGAAATTCAAAACAAGCACATTATAATATGTAAAAATATTTGTTTTGTTGATGTGTGAAGTTTCATTCTATTCGATTTAACACAAATAAATTTACCTCATTTTAAAATCAACATGTTTTGTACCCGCGGAGCACACAAAACGGCACTGTTACGTCAACACATAGCGTCGAGAATTTATAATAGATACTTTACCTATACATTTCACACAGAATATTCCAATGCCCATTCATTAAATTCTTTTTCTATTACTTGACATTTATTTTTTCAAGAATTGATCTCATTGTATAATTTGCTTTGTTAAGGTTTTAATTTATTTTAGTACTTAACTCTGCTTTTACAGGATAAGCAACTCTGAAGCGCCTTGTCTTTTATTTACGTTTCAAATTTTAAAGTTTTGTTCAGATGTTTACAGTAAAACCTCATCCTCATCTGATACAGAGTCTCTGTCACTTAAATATTGCCTGTACTATTTGTACACACATGCACAACTCGTCTGTGATATATTTTCTTGATTCCTTCAACGTCTTAAGACTTTATTCAGGATTTTTCCTGAGAAAAACACAAAATTGTTTCAGTATCTGCTGCCCCGTGACGTTCTAAAACGTCATCGTTTTTGTCATTTTGTCATTTTCAATAAGGACTACTTATCTTCTTAAGTTGATTTCTTTTCAACAAAGCAAAATATAAAACCATAATTTGATACACGTATCGATGTAACAATTCTTAATTTGAATTCTAGGTAGTTTTTCGTTTTTCGTACATTTTACAGAGAATATGACTATAAACATTATTTATTGTACGTATTTTCTTGACCTGCTCCGCGATCCGATTTTTGCATTTTTAAAATCTGGATAAGTTTTTAATCAATAGTAATATTTTGTCAAAATTAATGCATATCATTTGGATTTATTGTTAGAATATTTCTAACAAATTTGGATAACATCTGACGTCAAATAAAAAATATATGACAGTTGTCCACGAACTTTTCGAACAACCCTCGTATATGTGTAAAAGAAGACAGTGACTTACCAAAACTTTTTTCATCAATGATAAATGGTATAACATTGTTTTCCCATAGAGATGTCGAAGAGATTCCAAAATTTCTAATCTGTCGGTATGTTGGCTGTCAAAAGGTATAATTTACGTGACTT